ACTTCAAAACAAACTTCATTTGCAGACAGAGGTGGTAATTAATCTCAATGTGACAGATAAAGATAATGCTTTGGATTTTCTTCAGGAGGAAAGCTAATTAATCCCAAGGGGCTCATTCATTGCAGTATTCAGTTTACAACATTTTCAGAAGTTATCTCTCTTTCCCAATTCATTCTTATATAAAGTTAAGGAATCTACCCCACCACCCCAGCTCCAAACCAGAGGACATAGAGAAACAAACTTAGCATCAAAATATGTCTTTTTGCCTACTGAACTACCATACCAAATTTCAACTTAATTGGGCTACCACAAAAAAGTTATTAGGAAAAAAACAGAAAATTTGTGGACGGAAGAATGACAGACGGACAGACAGACGGACAGACAGACAGAGTGATTACTATAGGGCACCCGCAAATCCTTGCGGGGCCCTAATTAACATAAGTAACAAAAGTAAATCAAAAAATCTTCTTTAATCTATTTCTTGTTTTTAGAATTCAATGAAATCATAACTATTAAACAAAAATAAATTATAAAAATTTATATTTAAATGATCATGATCCACATTTCAGAGTGTTCATAGCATTCCAAATTGACTTAACTTCAAAACAAACTTCATTTGCAGACAGAGGTGGTAATTCATCTCAATTTGACAGATAAAGATAATGCTCTAGATTTTTTTCAGGAGGAAAGCTAATTAATCCCAAGGGACTCATAGCAGCATTCAGTTTACAATGGGAACATCTTCAGCAGTTATCTCTCTTTGCCAATGCTTTCCTATACAAGAGGCCCAGGGGCCACAACGCTCACCTGAGCAATTGGCTAAGAAAAAGCACACATCAGATCAGAACTGAAAGTTTACCAAGGGGGGAGGGGGCTTGAATTTTAACCCCCGGGGGGTCATGATTAGAACAAACTTCAATCTACACTACCTGAGGATGATTCCCTGTAAATATTACTAAGCATGGCTTTAAAGTACTTGAAAAGAAGATTTTAAAAGTTTTCCCTAGATATTCCTATGTAAAACTTTTATCGGCCATTATGGCCCCACACTACCGCCGGGGGTCATGATTTCAACAAAATTGAATCTACACTACCTAGGGATGATTCCACAGAAGTTTCATCTTTCCTGTCTCAATGGTTCTTGAGAAGATTTTTCCTATATATATTCCTATGTAAAACATTGATCGGCCATTTTGGCCCCACCCTACCCCCGGGGGTCATGATTTGAACAAAATTGAGTCAACACTAACCTGAGGATGATTCCACAGGAGTTTCATCTTTCCTGGTCCAGTGGTTCTTGAGAAGAAGATTTTTCCTATATATTGCTCTGTAAAACTTTGATCGGCCATTTTGGCCCCACCCTAACCCCAGGGGTCATGATTTGAACAAATTTGAATCTACACTACCTGAGGATGATTCCATATGAGTTTCATCTTTCCTGGCCCAGTGGTTCTTGAGAAGAAGATTTTTAAAGATTTTTCCTATATTTTCCTATGTAAAACTTTGAATGGCCATTTTGGCCCCACCCTACCCCCCAGGGGTCATTATTTGAACAAACTTGAATCTACACTACCTGAGGATGATTCCATATGAGTTTCATCTTTCCTGGCCCAGTGGTTCTTGAGAATATTATTTTTTACGATTTTTCCTATATATTGCTATGTAAAACTTTGATCGGCCATTTTGGCACCACCCTACCCCCAGGGGTCATGATTTGAACAAATTTGAATCTACACTACCTGAGGATGATTCTCTATGAGTTTCATCTTTCCTGGCCCAGTGGTTCTTGAGAAGAAGATTTTTAAAGATTTTTCCTATATATTGCTATGTAAAACTTTGATCGGCCATTTTGGCCCCACCCTACCCCCAGGGGTCATGATTTGAACAAATTTGAATCTACACTACCTGAGGATGATTCCACATGAGTTTCATCTTTCAGGGACCAGTGGTTCTTGAGAAGAAGATTTTTTAAAAATGCCATTAATTTTTCTCTAATTCATAATTATCTCCCCTTGGAAAAGGGCGTGGCCCTTCATTTGAACAAACTTGAATCCCCTTTACCCAAGGATACTTTGTAGCAAGTTTGGTTGAAATTGGTCCAGTGGTTCTTGAGAAGAAGATGAAAATGTGAAAAGTTTACGACAACGACGCCAACGACGACAACCACAACGACGACAGACAATGGACAAATTTTGATCAGAAAAGCTCACTTGAGCCTTTGGCTCAGGTGAGCTAATAAAGTTAAGGAATCTACCCCACCACCCCAACTCCAAACCAGGGGACATAGAGAACCAAACTTAGCTTCAAAATATGTATTTCTGCCTACTGAACTAACATACCAAATTTGTACTTGATTGGGCAACCATAAAAAAAGTTGCCCATTCATTCTTATGCATAGTTAAGGAATCTACCCCACCACCCCAGCTCCAAACCAGAAGACATAGAGAACCAAACTTAGCATCAAAATATGTATTTCTGCCTACTGAACTACCATACCAAATTTGAACTTGATTGGGCAACCATAAAAAAAGTTATTAGAAAAAAACAGAAAATTTGTGGACGGAAGAGTGACAGACGGACAGCTAGACAGACAGACAGACGGACAGACGGACGGACAGAGTGATTACTAAAGGGCACCCGCAAATCCTTGCGGGGCCCTAATTATGGCTTTGTCATTCTTGAGAAGAAGATTTTTAAAGAATATTCCTATATATTTCTATGTAAAAGTTTGATCGGCCATTTTGGCCCCGCCCTACCCCCGAGGGTCATGTTTTGAACAAACTTGAATCTACACTACCTGAGCATGCTTCCATATAAATATGATGAATTATGGCTTTGTCATTCTTGAGAAGAAGATTTTTAAAGAATTTTCCTATATACAGTCAAAACTGCCATAGCGACCCACTGTATTAAGCGACTCACTGTCACATGTGACCGTAAAAATTCCCCCCAACGCTTTTCCCCATACATTCTACCTGTATTAAACGACCACCTGTCTTACGCGACCAACGACCATGATTCTCCTGACCAATTTTAGTAATTTCAAGCAGTTTTACCTGAATTTAACGACTACATAATTTCCAATTCCTTCTTTCGATTTCTGTCCAGCATGCTATGTTTTTGGTTCAAAGCAACTACAAACACGCTTTTATTTCATTTAATAATTATACGATGCGAGTTTTAAGAGTAAAACAACATTTAGAAATGAATATTTTTACTTACGCTTTGATATTTATTGAATAAACATTAAAATCTAAAACATAAACATCACGTTTCTCTGTCCAGTGATCGAGCGCCATTTTGAAAATGAACCTTTGAGGTCGATCCCGATATCATTTCATGCTAAAGGGCCAAATGGATATTCAGCCATGAAACCTGCCTGTTTAACTTTAATTAATAAGTAGCTAAATCCTAGATGTTGATTTAAGCGCATTGTGTCACTAATGGGTATACAAACACACGCTAGCTAGCACCCATACCATGTGATAATTGAAGTGATTTAATACCAGGCAATTAGACACGTTATTTCAGTAATGAAAAAAAAAATTAATTAGGATAAATAAGTATTTTAGTCATAGATATAATTTAATTTGATACCAAGTGCAATACAAAAATTATGATGCTGTATTCTTGGTAATATCCAAAACATATCAAGTTATAAATATAAGCTATCAATTGTAAAAAAAAAAAAAAAAAAAAAAAAAAATATAGGAAAAAAAAAAATTTGAAGCTGTTTTATACTGTATGAAAAAAATATTAATATTTTCAGATGTTCACATTATTTCCCAATATTCAAATGACTCATGTGCCCAGCAAACAAATTTTTATTTCTTAATTAACAGGACAATTTTAAAAGCATTTTAAAGTTGAGCAGTATAATTATAAAAAAAATGGAAATAAATATAGGTGTTATAAAATACATTATACATACACATGTGATATTTTCAGCAATGTATATTTCTGCACACTGCGGAAAGTAAGCAACCTGTATTAAGAGACCACCTGTCATATGTGACCTTTTTTCCTTTCTCCGTTGGAAGGTCTCTTAATACAGGTTTGACTGTATTTCTATGTAAAATTTTGGTCGGCCATTTTGGCCCCGCCCTACCCCCGAGGGTCATGATTTGAACAAACTTGAAACTATACTATCTGAGCATGCTTCCATATAAATATGATGAATTATGGCTTTGTCATTCTTGAGAAGAAGATTTTTAAAGAATTTTCCTATATATTTCTATGAAAAACTTTGGTCGGCCATTTTGGCCCCGCCCTACCCCAGGGGGTCATGATTTGAACAAACTTGAAACTACACTAACTGAGCATGCTTTCATATAAATATGATGAATTATGGCTTTGTCATTCGTGTGAAGAAGATTTTTAAAGAATTTTCCTATATATTTCTATGTAAAAATTTGGTCGGCCATTTTGGCCCCGCCCTACCCCCAGGGGTCATGATTTAAACAAATTTGAATCTACACTACCTGAGGATGTTTCTCCATAAGTTTCATCTTTTCTGGCAAAGTGGTTCTTGAGAAGAAGATTTTTAAAATATGCCACCAAATTATCAGTTATTCCCAATTATCTCCCCTTGAATGAGGGCGTGGCCCTTCATTTAAACAAACTTGAATCCCCTTTACCCAAGGATGCTTTGTGGCAAGTTTGGTTGAAATTGGCCCAGCGGTTCTTTAGAAGAAGTCGAAAATTTGAAAAGTTTACAGACAGACAGACGGACTCCAGACAAAATGTGATCAGAAAAGCTCACTTGAGCTTTCAGCTCAGGTGAGCTTAAAATGTTTCTGGTAATTTTTTGATATATTATATTGTTGTGCATCCTTTTAACTTTTTTTTCCATGCATATTTTCAAAAGAGATGGAAGACCACTTTTTCTTTGCATTTTCCTCGATTTCTCTAATCTTCAGAAATTTTTGATGTGATTACCTCACCTAAGCTGAAAGTATAGGCATGGTATTTGAAATATATGCATCAAAGTACCACTGTACCTTTTCAGGATAAACTCTGATCTTGGGTCCACTAGATTGCCATTAGTAATCCATTCATCTATCACCTCTATGTAGGGTTTGGTTGTTTGTATCCACAATGGTATAAGGAGCTCTACCTAAAACAGCCAGAAAACAAAAGATGTAGATTGTTATGCTTAACATTATTATATAATACAATGTTGTAGAAGTAAATTCTGAGGAGATTTTAATTACCACATCTGAGGCGTTCTGTCCGAGGGTATCGTATTCCACCACTGCCTCAAACAGTCCGCTCAGTAAATGTGACGCCCTCTGACAATTATTGACCATCCAATCAGCTTCCAGGATTCCCCGCACATACAGAGAGTAGATCACCTCGATCTTTTTTAACCATGGTGACAAATCTCCATGGAGCATGGCTAAAGTCATCGTCTGCTCTGGAATAAAAGTATGAACAGAAATTAGAAAACTGTTAATGCCCTTGTTTTGCAAATAAAAGTAAGAAATACTGTAGATGACCCAAAAAAGCAATTTTTTTTCTTTCTGACATGGAAAAAAAAATTCTTGATTTATTTCCATTGAGATGATAAATTTCATAGGAACAAAATGCATGCAAAGCAAAGTGTAAGGAACATACACATGTATAAACAGTCTAGGATAACTTAGAACTACTTTCTACCTTGTTTGATGATCTTTTTCTCTAGCTGAGTCAATTCTCTCCTCAGACTCTTGATGAAGTTGGAGATAGCATTGGCGAAGGCCTGATAGGTCTGACACGTCAGCTTATTATTGTCTGTGACGGACAGGTCATGTGACCCACAAATAGACTCCTCCTCAAAACGTAGCAACCGCTGGACATAGGAGCCATACCGAGCAAAACAAGACAGGTAACTCTCCAGGGAGTTCTGTGAAAACAAAAGTGATACTGAACAGATCTTCTTTCTAAAACAACTTAAGTATTTTGTATACCAGTAACTTTTCATACAATTATATTTATCAAATATATAATACAGGTATATCAACGTGACTTGTAATTGCTTCATAAAAGGGAAAACTCACAGAGAACTCATTTTTAAGGAAATTTTTCATTCCCCCCCCAAAAAAAGAATTTCAAATCCTTCCGGAGAATTGTTTTGGGGATTTAAAGAATCTAGGCAAAGTAGGCAAATTTTAAAGTCACAGAGACTTTCGAGTTTTTACTTATTGACAATGAAATGGCATAGTGTCATGTAGTTGCATTAATTAAAATAAATCAGAAATAAGAATCTTTTTATCTCTACGTATACACTTACATCAGTCAGATGCTGAACAAAAACATTTTCCCGTACGATGAATTCGTCTCCATGTAGGATAAAAACAAAGGAATCTGTAACACCTGCTAGTATCCTAAAAGAAAAATTAGCAATGCATGCACTGTGTTTGAAGTAATTTACTTTACTACATCTTAAATAAACAATTACTGAAGGTATAAAAATAAATAACATTCTGACTGTAGTGTATGTGACCCCCCCCTCCTTTTTAATTTTATGTAATGTAGTTAGGGTATATGACATTTATTATTTAGTCCACAATATAGTGTTTATTCATGCCGAGTCAATGACTGTAATATTTTACTGTAATTGTGTGAGCTTGGAGCGGGTTGATTTTTCTATCAAATAGAGTCAATGTCTGTAATATGTTATCATGCTTTATGGTGATTTGGAGCGGGTTGATGAAGTTTGTTTGATCATAGTTTTATTTTGTTTTACTAAGAATGTGCTGTTCGCAAAGTTGTACTTAAGTTATGTTATTGTAGTTATAAATATTTGCAATCAAGAGTAAATTGTGGTATCACAGTATGTTGATAATGTAAACATGACAGAGATAATTCGAACTGAATAAGAGTTTGGTAGGAGATTAATAAAGTGAACCATTTGTAAATTATTACCTATATATATATATAACAAGGCTATAACTGTGTGTAAAAGTATGTGATTGTTGTTTGTTTAGTGTTACTTAATTGATATGATACCTGTAAACAGTCTAAACTTCTTTTGACACATGTTTTGACAGTTTTGGAACTCTTCTGTACGATGTACTTCCGGTTTAGAAACTTGTTAATCTATTCGATAAATCGTTCTCCTATTGGTTGTATAGTCGATAAATTTATTGAGTATAAATGGTGCTATCTTATGAATGAATGTATTTTGAGATGAGCTGAATATTGTTTTGAGTTAAATATGTTTTGTTTAAATTACTTGTTGTGAAATATATTTTGTTATTAAGATAATATGTGAGATAGAATGATTTTACATTTGTATAGAATATTTGGTAACACTTGTTCACGTGAAAGGTCGTGATGTTTTACGATTGACCAATCAGATTGTTCGATATAATTGATCATTAGTAATTAATCCAATGAAATTTCATAATTAATAATTCCGTCTTTTTCCAGCATTTTCCGTCTTTTTCCGTTATTTTCTGTCCTTGGGTCATATAAAAGTTAGACGCTGAGAAATTCTAGTTACTCTTCTGGTTATTTTGATTTGGTAGGTCCGTTTTACGGAGCTCTTGGATTTTTGTTAGGATTTTATTTTAATTCTTATTTTTGTCTATCTTTTATTTTATTTAGGAATTTATTTCATTTTTCATTTATTTAGTTAGGATAGGATTTAACTGTGTAGGACAATATTAAATAGTAAAAACACTACTGTCCGTGATTGGTTGTTTTAAGAACTCAACAGTCCATGACTGAGTAGTTCTCTTCAGTAATTAATTTTTCTAGGATTGTTTTATTTTACAATTTTACTCTACATTTCTTTAATTTTTATTTTAGTGCAAACTACGTAACAAAAGTTGTACGTTTGCTATCTTTCTCTTTTATGATGACTAAAGTTGATTAATTCAACAAAAGTCAATTTTTATTTTGTTTAGATTCAGTAATTTAATTTTTCTAGATACGTAAATTTTTCTTAATTTTTCACAGAATATTTTATCAAAGAACTTAAGATTTTAAATTTCACTTTACTTTAAACTTAATAAAGATTATTGGATTTAACATTTATGGCCCGTAGTACTTACAAGCTGAATCTGTTTAATACAGTAAAGCTTGCGTTAGTTTTTAACAAGTCAGTGTTATAAATAACCACGACTTGTGTCCCGTTTTAATAAAGCGTTTTAGGACTTTAACAAGCTAACCTGTTAAATACAGTAAAGCTTGTATTAAGTTTTACAAGTCAAAGTTATAAATAACTACGGCTTGTTTTCATTATTAGATATTGGGAAATAGACACATAGATTTTGGGGTGCTTTTTCTGTCTGTTTTAAGGTCATTGGCAATGCAGGGTTTCCGGAGAAAAAAGGTTTATACATAGGTTTTCTCACTTATGAAAACAGTCATTGAGAGTGATCTCCGGTATGGAATTCCCTAGGCGCTAAAAACAAATAAAGCATGTGTTACAGATGAGAGGTAAACAAAAGCAAGTATGTTTTTTATCGGATATATTCAACTCTACAGTATTAATAGAAAAACAGCGATAGGTTTGTTTACATTGTACTGAGGGGGCAGACAGTCAACAGGCCGTCATTTAGAATAGGTACATGAATGCTGGGAAGTGCAAAGATGTGAAATAATTTTGCTGAAAGTGATGATAGCCAGGTAGACCGAATGAGAACGATTCTGTAGGTTATGTGAATGAGACACCATTGAAAGTTACTATAAATCCTTGTAAAAATGTTTTATGACAGTTCGCTTCCAATAAAGTAAATTATAGAATAGAAACAAACAACCAGTCTCTTGATCATAATGAATATTGATTAGATGTGAAGGGAAGTAACTCAAAATCAAAGAACAGTGCTGGTATTTCTGTGTTTTGTTTCAATATTTTCATTTTCAGCCAAAGTATATGCATGTCATCGGAATTAAGGTTTCAACAATGTATTTTATGTATAAACCTTATGAAATAAATGGGTTTTGGAGAAAACGTATGGTTGAAAATAATATAGGGCCATTTTATCAACATTTTACATAGGAAATGCATTGAAAATTGTAAAAACATTGATTTGACAAAATCTATAAAGGAAGGCTGGCTTCATGGGTAAAAAGGACCTGAATTGAATATGTTTGGTACCATTAAACCTGTTCAAAAAATCTTGAAAAATCCTATACGAAAACCAGAAACGTTGCCAATGTCCTTAAGCTATGACTTTTTCTTATTTCGTTTATTAAAACTTAATTTATTATTGTTTATTTGGTATGAATGTGGTGTGAATGTCGTCGTTTGAAATAAATTGTTTGTTGATAATGCACTTCATAAATTTAATTGTTTAATGTTTATAATCTTATGTCTTCTTTGCCAATGGTACATTTATGAAGGAAGTTGAGTTAAATTATTTATACCATATACAGTTATCCGAACTGCTAGCGTTACACTGACGTTATCTTAGTTGATGTAGTTTTTCCCCTAATTTTCTTACCACAAAACTTCTCTCAGTAACTGAATCTCTGTCATTGTGATACTATCTTGATTGCTGTAGATTGGGTCGGTAGCTTCTCTGTACTTCTGCCTGTAGCAATAGAATTAAAACTGTCAGTTTATTGAATTTATTTATTAATTACATGTATATCCTCTTCAACAGCCTGTATGAAACAAGAAGCTACCTGAATCACATTAAATGGATATCCAAATGAAACTCTGCTGAGGTCCTAAACTTGATTAATACTAGAAACATATTCTATGCACCTCAGAGTAATAAGGGACAAAGAAGTACTTGGAATGAAATTTCCTCTTAAACTCTGAACTGGGAAACCAACACTGACACAAATGCTAAGGGTATTATATAATCTACCCCTAAACTTTGTTAAGAAGAAAATAATGTTTAATGCAATTTGTATCTTACAGAGCAACTACCTACCAGTCCCTCTTTAAGTTATCTGTGTTGTCTGGGTCCTCTGGTTGATTTTGACCACACCAGTACTGGACGGTGACATTTCTGGTCAGCCAGGCCGCCCCAGACTCCCGGGGGTCAGGTTCCTCCTCCACGTAAAACGTGGAGGCGTCTGAGGTAATGGTGGAAATACTAGGATCCACCTCCTGTTTCTCTGAGATTTCTATTTCTTTTGACTTCACTGGAACCACTGTTTCTTCTTCATCACTCAGGGGCTCAAAGTCTGATTCCGACTATATCAAAAGAGAGGGCCCAAATAAATTTCATTTTTTTATATGGTTCATGAGGTAAGTCCTGTTCTATTTAAACATCTTTACAAAGGAAGACAAAATCAATAACAGTTTTATCATTTACAGTTTTGAGTCTTCACATACATGTAAATCATCATAAAATTATTAATTTGAAATTTTTCTATCTGAGAATTCACTTTTTGAGGGACATTTCATAAATGATAGTTATGCAAAATTTGTTTAGAAAAGATTAAAAGTTTATTAGTTACAGACATTAATATCTTCAACCTTTTGGGACAACAATGTACCTTAAGAAGCTCAAAAGCATTGATTTTTTCCCAAAGGAAATCTTAAATAAATATTGTTCTAAAACAAAGAAACCTATATTACATCGGAGTCAGCGTATATTGTTGAGTAAGTTTCTATTCCCTCCATGAGGTAGGCTCCCCAGTCAAAGTCATCCACTACCTCTAGAATGAACAAAACGTAAACACAGTAGTCAGAGTGGAGAAACACTGACATTGAAACATGTACAATGAAATTGTTACAAAATTCTCAAGAAAGCATATGATATGACCATAAATTATTTCTAATATAAATTCAGATGAAAATGAAATGTTCATGATATTGGTACCTGGTGCTTTAAGAATTTGGGGTTTCCCTGCATAAGTAGAATGGGTTGGATTTTCTCCTACATTTAGTAGTAACATCAACAAACTATAGTGGGTGTCAGTCTGTTTAATAACAAAATGATGCAAAATAAACTCAATAGTATAAATCACATACTCTTAATCATCTTCTAAATGCAATAATTCGACCTTTATTTCTAACAACAAAAAAATGTAGTAAGAATGTCTGCTACTCTGTAAAAATATTTTTTTCATTTGTGCGTCTTTTCTACTTTTTTTTACTTTAAAAACAACAAGTCTTTGTCAGAAATTATGTAGTAGTGTAAGATAAATGACATCCTACTAGTGTAACATGATGAGCATATAAATTATAAGTTTAATTGATAAATTAATTTGTACAGTACATTTATCCATGTTCAATATTGTGTTATGAATTATAATTGATACTTTAAGTGTGAAGAGCGACGAACAATAATATCTTAATTATGAAGTTGTTTACAAACTCTGGGAGATTGGATACAATAAGAGAGTGTCTTCATTTGATGGACAATTAGTTTTTACGATGTGTTGTTCTCGAACATTGACACTTTCCAATCAGACTTTGTGCAGAGCTGCAGCCATCTTATTAACTGAAGAATGTGCAAGATACACAAATGTTAATGTAAACAGTCGACATTGCAGTATCCTATAAGGAGATGTGAGACAGAACTTCAGTGATGGGCGGACCATATTAATATTAATGAAGTGACACTCTATCTAACTAATTGCTGTTACCAAATATGTGATCCCTATGATGCAGTTTTTTGTACAAAAGATGTGCGCACTGAGTGTCAATAGCATCCTAGCTCCGAGATGGACTATGAGAGCTTTTAACATCTTGGCTCCGAGACGAACTATGAGAGCTTTTACAAACTTAGCTCTGAAACCTTTGTGAAACAATGACTATGTGAGCTTTCACCATTTTGGCTCCGAGATCTTTGTAATTGAACTTTTCATGTACCAATGTTTTTGCCTTTGCTGTGACTTTATAATAAAACTATAAACTTACAAAAGTCTTCTTAATCCAAACACATTGGCTAATTGTGTTATACTAGCTTGGGCTATTGGGTTAACCTTTAAACTTGATCAGCAGAGCAATTGACTGGCATGCCAAAGGTCCTGTGTTCAAATTCATTTGGAGGAATATATCACAGTCATGTCTCTGTTACATTTACTCAAGCTCAAAGCTGATTCCAATCACTACCCTACACAATGAAATGTCAAACTACTGTCATACTTTTCCTGTGTCACGTCCTTCAAAACACGGCGTGGATAAAAACTGGTCACACAGTCTCTGTAGACAATCCTTTTTATCCAGCTGGGAGTGGATCTCAAACTTTTCAAGGATCCTAAAATATTATTGTGATTGTATTACCATTTACGTATTATTACATAATATGTTCAAATCAAATCACTGGTTTGAGCAGCTATCCATATATCTATATTTGAATCCTTTCAAACTAGGGATGTCAACGAATAGTCGACTATTCGACTGTCAGTCGAATGGACCGACGATCGAATAATGAAAAAACATTTGAATATTAAATAAATGCAAAAAAAAGGGGGTGATAATGAAATTTTCATTTCAAAATTGAAAAAGGGTCCTTTCTCAAACTATACAGCTGTATAGTGTACGTCCTCAGACAAATAAGAGCTCAAACACAGTCACAGTATATAAATAAATTTCCACTTTGTACACATAGACAAGAGGCCCACGGGCCTTATAGGTCACCTGAGCATTATGCAACAACTTTCCAGTTATTGAATTTGATTCATGTTTTAACTTAAGCCAGATGATATATGGCATTCACAATTTTGAAAGAGGACCATTGATCATCATAACAGTACACTTATCAGTTGCTTAGCTTGGTTACTGAATACCCATACGCAGGGTAGGGGAACAAAAATGCATTCCAACTAATCAGTAATATTCAGCAATAATCAGTAGTGCCCCTAACACTGTGACATAAACCCCTGACCCTAGGTCCACACATTGCACAAATTTTAAAAAGGCACTCTTAAAATTGCCTACCAAAAAATAAATAAATAAATGTTTTATAAATACAAAGGAGCAGATTTCAAACAATTAATTCATTTTCAGTATATAAGTAGAGCCCCCCCACCCCTGACCCAGGGTCCTTGAAATTCACAATTCTGCAAGATTAGGGCCCTTGCTCATCATGACTATATAGGTAGTTCATCTGCTTCATACCCAGAGACAGAGAAGAAAATTTTCAAAGATTTAATGTATTTTCACTATATTATCAATAGAGCCCCACCCTAACATCAGAACCCCTGACCCTGGGGCCATAAAATTCATAATTTTAGAAGAGGCATTCTTGCTCATCATAACTATGTACTTAGTTAGTTTATTTAATTCCTAGGAGCAGAGAAGAAGATTTTCAAAGAATTCACGTATTTTCAATATATAATCAAACTAGCCCTGCCTTAACACCAGAACCCCTGACCCTGGGACCATAAAATTCACAATTTAGATAAAAGCACTCTTGCTCATCACAACTATACACTTACTTAGTTTAATTAATACCTAGGAGCAGAGAAGAAGATTTTCAAAGAATTCATGTATTTTTACTATATAATCAATAGAGCCCCCCCCCCCTCAAAACCAGAACCCCTGACCCTGGGACCATAAAATTTACAATTTTGGTTTAGGCACTCTTGCTCATCATAACTATGCACTTAGTTAGTTTATTTAATACCTAGGAGCAGAGAAGAAGGTTTTCAAAGAATTTATGAATTTTTACCATATAATCAATAGAGCCCCCCCCCCTCCTCAACACCAGAACCCTTGACCCTGGGGCCATAAAATTCACAATTTTGGTTGAGGCACTCTTGTTCATCATAACTATGCACTTAGTTAGTTTATTTAATACCCAGGAGCAGAGAAGAAGATTTTCAAAGAATTCATGAATTTTTACTATATAATCAATAGAGCCCCCCCCCCCCCAACACACACCAGAACCCTTGACCCTGGGGCCATAAAATTCACAATTTTGGTAAAAGCACTCTTGCTCAACATAACTATACACTTAGTTAGTTTATTTAATACCTAGGAGCAGAGAAGAAGATTTTCAAAGAATTCATGTATTTTCACTATATATAATCAATAGAGCCCCACCTAACACCAGAACCCCTGATCCTGGGACCATAAAATTCACAATTTTTGTTGAGGCACTCTTGCTCATCATAACTATGCACTTAGTTAGTTTTTTTAATACCTAGGAGCAGAGAAGAAGATTTTCAAAGAATTCATGTATTTTCACTATATAATCAATAGAGCACCCCCCCCCCCCCCCAACACCAGAACCCTTGACCCTGGGGCCATAAAATTCACAATTTTGGCTGAGACACTCTTGCTCATCATAACTATGTACTTGGTTAGTTTATTTAATACCCAGGAGCAGAGAAGATTTTCAAAGAATTCATGTATTTTCACTATATATAATCAATAGAGCCCCACCCTAACACCAGAACCCCTGACCCTGGGGCCATAAATTTCACAATTTTGGTAGAGTCACTCTTGCTCATCATAACTATGTACTTAGTTGGTTTATTTAATACCCAGGAGCAGAGAAGAAGATTTTCAAAGAAATAATGCATTTTCACTATATACTTATTTAGCCCCGCCCTAGCACTAGAACCCCTGACCCCAGGGCCATGAATTTCACAATTTTGGTAGAGGACTCAATGCTGATAACAATCATGCAAACAGTTTGACTGCTTGATGTCCAGGAGTAAAGAAGAAGATTTTTAAAGATTGCATTAATTTTAGTGGTTTTGGCCCCACCCCTCAGGCCCCAGGGGGGCTGGGATCATGAAATTCACAATTTTTGTTCCCCTTTAGCCATAGATGCTTTGTGCCAAATTTGGTTGAAATTAGTGCTGTGGTTGCAGAGAAGAAGCTGAAAATGTTCAAATGTTAACACACGATGGACGACGGACGACGGACGACGCACGACGACGGACGAAAACGGATAGCAATAGGTCACCTGAGTTTACTCAGGTGACCTAAAAATACAGTAATAACATACCGCGATAATTATTTCTCAATCACTGACTTTTTTTGTTATTGTACGTAGTAAATTATACAAAGCTATACTGGACTATGAAAATTATTTAATTGACTTGTACCAATTATATATATAAACTTTAGGAATTTCAAACGCTTACGAAAACAAAATATTTGCATATACATGAAAGACATTTTGATATACGAGTATAGCTTGGGCAATCATTAATTAAACAAACAGTATTTAACATTTTCATCGTTGGAGTGGATAGTGTGCCCCATTTCCAATTAATTTCAATTTTCCAATTTATTTTAATTAATAAGCTTTCAAAAACACTATGCTGTAATGTGTTGCTGAGCCGTATGGCCTAAAGTTATTGAATAAAGAAATCGTATGTAATATAAAAAAATAAATGCTCCGAATAGTCAAATAATGCAATCGAATGTTCGATTAAGGAAAATTTATATTTTGACATCCCTATTTCAAACATAACATTAAAAAGTTACAAAATTGACCTACCCATTTAGAGATTTAGTAACTCTGTGACTGTCCACACTAAGGAAGCGATGATACTTGATGTTTGACATGGCAAACTGAACACATAATGCAAAGTTTTCTTCTCCTTCCTGAAAAAATCATAAAAACACATTTATTTTTAATGCATAGTAAATTTTCTTCCTACTCCATGAAAAAAAAGTAATACTATAAAGGGCATCTTCGCTTGTCAAGGGTTTCTGATAAGCTACTCTCCTCATAAACACTTGGCATACTGTCTTAAGGTGGCTCATTACATCCACAGTTTATTTTAGATTTCAATACAGCACCACTTATAATGAAGATGCCAAATATCCGGATGGGGGTATTGATATCATAAATATTTTTAATAGAATTTTTTAGTTTTTGTCTAATTTTAGTGAAATGTTTCATTTCAAGTTTATTATTAAAAGAATTTCAGAACCTGTCAGTGTCAAATGATGGGCATCTTCTTCAGACAAGTGCACACAGTGAAAATACCTCATAATTAGGGATGTCAAAATTGTCAATAATTGATATTCGAATATTCGATAGTAGTATTCGAATATATTCGAATATTCGATAAAATAAATACATCTTGCATTATAATATGTATACATCTTCACTCTTTTGTTAAGCAATATACGTTTTATGTCATTATTTTGGAATAAAATTTCATGTTTTGTAAATGCACTATAATTACATGTTTATTCTTAAAATATTTTACAGAATATATGAAGAGTACGTCCAAAATATAATAAAAAAAAAAATGTTCCCCGAAAATTCAAAAGATTCTTCTAATAAGTTCCAGATTAATTAATCATCTTACCAAAGTGTACACTGATAACCCTACAGATTTATACCACACAGAACAATTATCTATTATCTAATGGAGAAACATTAAAAGCAATTACTCTAAGCTAATTAATTTCCTGATAATGATTTTAAATGATGTTTACATAAACAAGGGATCCATGTGTGTTACTTTAAAAATGTGTCCTTTCAACAATACAAACTAATTCTAAGTACTGGACACTGTTATACCTCTAATTAAGTTATCAAATGAATAATTTTTATTATTTTAATATATACACTCTTCACACCTTTAAGGTAATCCAAGAGGAGTGTTTTTTTTTAATTTTAGTTTTAAATAAAATTTTATTGTTGGTCAACGAGAAGAATTTGATTCAATTTCTGAAAAAAAAACCCAGATTTTTTTTCTTTCTGATGCTTGTATACTTAAAATCCGAATATTCGAATCATAAATTTATATTCGAATATCAACTCATCGAATGAATATTCGAATATTCGAATATTCGTTGACATCCCTACTCATAATACCTAATAATAATTTCATTAGAAAAAATAATTTTTTCCTAAAAACAATTAATGTCATTATCTTTTTAATCTATGCATAAAACATTAAGAAAATGAGTTCTGAAGAGACAAGGAATGTATTTCAATGAATTACATGTGTCAAATTGAATGAAGAATGTTTAAACGAAGTGAAAAATCCAATTTAAAAAATATTTGGTATAAAAAGTCCACTTTCAAGAGTTATCTTTCCTAATTACCCAAGACTCAAAACACTAAGGAGCGTTTGACATTACATCTAAAATTCAGAACAAAGCTTTAAATTGCCAGAGTATACATTTAAATCAATAAAGCAAATATATAAATTAACACCAACACAGTAAATAGTGCAAGTTAATAACTTTTTAATTTCAACAAGGTTGTAGATTTTAACTCGAATTTCCTCCATTGATTGATAGAGCTCATTGCATGCATCGCTATGAAATTGACATTACTTCTTTGGCGAAGATTTGACTGTTGTTTTCTTTTGTTTCTGCTTAAATGCAATTCTTCTTGGTTTATGCATAATGAATCCGTTACTTTGTTTTCACTGTTTATATCACCGCATGTTTCATCTATTTTCAAAGCGTTTTAAAGGTCAGGGTCATATTATAGAGGTACCTGTACAATTCGTCCCCAGAGGAAACCGGTCGACACAATGGAGGTTTATTTTTTTGTGTAGTACGTCATCAAAAAGTGGTGTAATGAGCCTCCTTAAAAAAGTTGGGTATTTTTTCTCAAGTTGTGATTGGAGTCGATCGACACTGATTGACCAATCAGCATTTTTTCTCGTAAATGGCAATATCTGCATTTGGAACATATTTTGACTCTTTCCTCTCCGGAATAAAAAACGCAAGTTAACAACGATCTCATAGATATGGTGTCATCCAAAATCTAAAGTTATACAAAATATGAATTAGAATCTATATTGAAGATGTAGATTTGCACATTAAATAACAAATGAAAAATCTGCCTTAAAGTTAATTATTCTTTAAAAACTTTCATGATTTAAATACGTTATTTATTTCTGTTGATGACAAAAACATTCCCGTCTTTTCACAGGCAATCACAGCACCGTATCCCAAGGTTTAATGAGGAGAGTAGCATATCAGAAACCCTTGGCTAGCGAAGATGTATAAAGGGCAGCTATTTCAAAAACTGATGTCAGATGATGATAATACTATGCTAGTACACTCCTAGTTGGTAGAACTATGCTGCTAATGAAAAATAAACAAAACAAATTGATGGGAGGGGGATAATGTATCAGTCTGGGTAAACTAAATTTCAAGTTGCATGAAAAATGTTAAAGTTGAAAGTAATAATTTACAATTATATTGAAGAGCGAGAGGGTTGCATTAGTTACTGTATACAAGATTATTTTTGCCCCATGTTATTTTCGCCCTTTTGCACTTGCAAACAATTTTGCCCCATTTTAAATTCGCCCAGTCATAGTTCTGTTTAAGAAATTATATTGTGTAATTTGAATTCGCCCCGTTTGAAATTCGCCCAATCAAGAAGAGGGCGAAAGGGGCGAAAATAAAACGGGGGTGAAAATTTCCGTGTATACACATACATCATACATGTGATAATTTCTAGACCCAGATACTGTACAACAGCCTTCAAAATACTGGAATTTGGGTGAAAATACTGTACATTGCTAATCAAAAAACGGTACAAAAAACGGTACAAAATATCAACCAAAATAACATGTATTATGATTTATTCATTTCAAGAAACTCTTGAAGAATTTTGAATTTCGGCATTAAACTATGCTAAATGCTGAACTTAAACATAGGTAATCAGAGATTACAGAGCTCACCTCAACGAATGTTGTCTTTAAGTAAGGCAAAGTCACACAATAAACCAACAAAAAGTGTACATTCCAAAATGAAAATATTTATGCAATTTTGATCTGATACTTTGGAATAGAGCTATATAAAAACTTCAAACTAGTTCTTTTTCATGAAAATGTAATTAAAATCCATCATCTGAAGCAAATTTGAGAGTTTTCATCCCTTGATGCATCATTTGTGCAAGTTTGGTTTATACAATGTTATATAAGCCTTATAGTTTTTTGGTAGTAGACCTTCACCCATAACTTTTACCTGGTCCATTATCTGAAAAATGTATGTCTAATTCAGCATCCAAAGCAAGTCCATTAGTGTGCATCCTAAGATGCATCATCCATGCAAGTTTGGTCATTATAGGGCTCATAGTTACTTGGAAATGAAACCTGCACCAAAAACTTTAAACTGTTCACTCAACAGGAAAATGTAGGTCAGATTCAGCATCCGAAGTAAGTCTGGTAGCATGCATCCTTCGATGTACCATCCATGCAAATTCGGTCAAAATAGGGCTCAAAGTATCTTGGAAATGAGACCTGCACCAAAAACTTTAACCTGTTCACTCAACTGGGAAATGTAGGTCAGATTCAGCATTTGAAGCAAGCCTGGTAGTATGCATCATAAGATGTATGAAACCTGCAAGTTTGGTCATTATAGTGCTCATAGTATCTTGGAAATGAGACCTGCACCAAAAACTTTAACCTGTTCACTCAACTGGAAAATGTAGGTCAGATTCAGCATCCGAAGCAAGCCTGGTAGTATGCGTCCTTAGATGTATCATCCATGCAAGTTTGGTCATTATAGTGCTCATAGTTACTTGGAAATGAGACCTGCACCAAAACTTTAACCTGTTCACTCAACCGGAAAATGTAGGTCAGATTCAGCATCCAAAGCAAGCCTGGTAGTGTGCATCCTTAGATGTATCATCCATGCAAGTTTGGTCATTATAGTGCTCATAGTTACTTGGAAATGAGACCTGCACCAAAACTTTAACCTGTTCACTCAACTGGAAAATGTAGGTCAGATTCAGCATCCGAAGCAAGCCTGGTAGCGTGCATCCTTAGATGTATCATCCATGAAAGTTTGGTCAACATAGGGCTTATAGTTCCTTGGAAATGACACCAACACCAAAAACTGCACCAAAAATGTTAACCTGCTCCAAAAACCTTAACCTGGTCATTCCTTTGCTGAAATTGCAGCATCTGAAACTTTGACTGGTACAATGAAACACACTAGAAACATCTTCCAAGCATGTCTAATCAATATAGGTCACAGAAGTACTTTAAAAGAAAACTGCTCCAAAAAACTTAACCTGGGACGCCGACACCGACACCGACGCCGAGGGTATTACATAAGCTCCCCCAACTTCGTTGAGGTGAGCTAAAAAGTAGTGTTTAAAAACTTTATTGTATGAGTCTGGTCGTTTCCATTCAGCTGCAATTTTTAAATTGTACTTAAAAAACATTTCTCTTAATCTGTGTCTAAAAAGACAATACATATGCCAAATCAAATAATGGACTAAATTTCGTTTTGCTGTCACAAAGTGTCTCCAATTCTTGTGATTGGCGTTTTCTCTGAAATGTCTTTAGTTTTAATAAATTACAGTTTAAAATTCCTTGATAAAGGTCCTATTAAAAAGCAATCAGCCAAACAAAACGCTTTGATGTCTCCTAATTACGATGTAATTATCACGGGAATATTTCACACTTTCGTTCATGATGTTTTGTTTACATTAATCAAGTGCAATAAGTCACGCATAGTTCCAGATTTCCGGTGTTGCAAGAGCGAAAGAGAAAGAAAGAGAGAAAGAAGAATGGCGATTTCCGGTAAACATTTCAAAATACGGTACACATTTTCATTTCCCGTGAATTTTGGTGTACCGCCGGGACACTGCGAAGGGGGTTGCAAATACGGGACATTTCCTGTACAGCCGGTACATATCACATATATGTATACAGTATATAGATTCATTTAGCAATTCCACATAGCTATATAGATTTTTTTTTACCAATTCCACATAGTTTGATCAGATATTTCGTTATTTTTTACTCAAATCTGTATTTTTTTGTAAGCTACTGCCTACACTTTGGTGACATGAGAGATTCTAACTTAATTTATAATCCGAGATTCCTCTGACTCTTACCCCCTGCCTTTTATATTGTGATAAGTGCAGGGGAGATTCAGGGTGGAGGCCATATTGAGAAGTGGGAAATTCAGCAATACAAGGTGGTGTCGTGACTCTGCCTACCTTTTAGAACTGTATTTCGCAGATATAACCCCTGAAACGCGAGAAATCAATAAAGGGATGATTCTTCTAAAACTTAATAGTCATTCAAAGGATGCTTTCGTCAAACGGCCCTATTACCGAAAAATGAAGGATCATTTGAATTAGATTGCCTCCTTGCTATTCGACTTCTTTGCACATGACGTCAGCACACTCTCAGACTCCCCTGCACATATCACAAAATAAAAAGCAGGGGTAAGAGTCAGATTACTAATTAATTTACTGCTCTGCAAATGGCTGGGAAAACGATCACTTTTCATACTGTGTATCCCAAACAGAACTTGCAATCGAGGTTCTTAAAGATTTTAGGATATACGAAGCAGTCAATTTGTGAGCAAATAATATAAAATTATAATTCAAGATTTATGTTGAAACTGTATATTGGATCTGACTTGTTTGGGCAAATTTACTGGTAATATTACGTTTTATTTATAAAATTTTCACACAGCACTCTTAATATCTCAACTTCACATTTTCATATGGAATAATTTACAGCAAAATTAAACACAATTGATACCTGAAACCCTGTAATTTGGAAAACTAATGTTTTCATGTCATTTTCAATGTTTAGCCACCGCGCCATTTTTGTTCTCTCGGAAGTCTTCGGAGAAGTAGTTACCAATTGAAATATAAAATCAAGAGAGATCCGAACATCATAATAGTTGACGGGAAATCTCGCCTTTCGCGAGATATATACAAAGCAGCAGAGTTGCAGAATATTTGTTTGCCGCCTGACAATGTAAACATATGTACTGCTTTCTATGAATGTCTTAAAAACTATTCTTTGAATATTTTTTTACTTACAATTTTTCTCTAAGGATATTTAACACGCATGTCCCGGTTTACCGTTGTTTATGATATTTCATTTACAGACATGTTTTGTGTACATTGAGGTATGAATATTTCTAAATACTATTTAGTGGAATAGTGTGGATTAAATATGTGTTAATGGGTCCCTAAATCAAAATTTCCTAGACCTTAAAATACGTTGTTCTTTTGTGTCAGTTTTGCTGTTATATAACGTGGGCCTGAAAATACTAGTACTTTTTCATAAATATTGATGACATCACTCATTCACTGATCAACTTGATAATAAATTTCAAAGAAAGTGGGCATGTTGTATAGATAATATGACATAGGCTAGTTGTACTGTAAAAGGCAAAGATTATCCCAAAGATACATTAAGTGTCACACAGCAGAGAGCTGCCAGGAAAGACTTTTAGAGCTTAGCTAAATTGTTATATCTTCACTGACTTCAGTGGTAAAGGAAGTTAAAGAGGGGGAAAATTGACAGTGCGGCTGGTTTGGTCCCCATTGGTCATTTAATTAGAAGTCTGGATAAAAAGATCAGGGGTCCAACTTTGAATCTCGGTCATTTCCATTGTATTTACTTCATTACATAATATATGTAACGTCTCGCCTGTAAATGTCCAGAAAAAATATTGGTCCTGTTATTTTTATGGTATCAAGGTATCAGAAATATGTATCAGCATAAATTATGTTGCATGGTTTTTTAAATCGGAAGTGCACTTCTTTTAAACAATTTAAAGTGCAGAGTCATGTGAGCATTTTTGCACTTAGTTTAAAAGGGGCACTATCAATCATGGAGAAGACTATACCTCAATGTCCACTATTGAAAAGGACAAATGTTTGCAAATTCTGTTAGTGAACAATACGTTTCCAGTGCACAGTTTGAAGTTTAATTAATCAGCTATTATTACAATTACTTTCAAGAAATTTATCATGTTCAAGTTTTATTTAATACTTTATTTCAAGATTTTTTTTCTTCCATTGAAACAGGTGACAGGATGTCCCAGGGAGGTTGTTACTGCTGCGATCCTGTGTCAACAGGGATGGATGTAGATAGTGCACTGCATGAGCTGGGAATGATCAGCTCTGTAACAAACAGTAGAAGGGAATACTTACGTGAACGAAACAGGACTTGTGTAAAAGAATCACCTAGTCCTCGCTTCAGAATTTTACGCATAGATCCAATGTATGTGACAGGGTTTAGTTCCAGTGTATCCACTGATCCTGGCTCATCATACAAACAAGATCAAGATTCTAGTCTCCAACTTCTGACACATTCTCAGTCAACAAGTGGACATTCCCAACCAACACCAGGGCTTTCCCAACCAACAATAGGACATTCCCAACCAATAGGCTCAACAGAATTTGGAACGAGTTATAGGAATCCTGAGGAAGAGGCACATGTACGAAGGAATATGAAGTGTAGGATGACACGCATGTCCAGACTTCGTGCTGGTCGCTATCAAAGGTTTCGTAAGCCTTACGAGGTTCCGTGGAGAATTAACCAATCTCTTCCCGAGACAGAGATCAGGCAAAGTGAGAACGAGTTTTCACAGTCAAAGTCCAACTCTTCCTCACCAGTTAAAGCTTTGTCTGAAACTTCATTGACAAGGTCAAGGTCACTTGGTAACCTTGACCTTGCAAAATTAAGTTTGAACGATTTTCTAGAGAAGAAAGTTTCCACAACTGAGAGAGAGGAAATGGAGAGGGTTTCCAGTCACCTAGAGAATCTGCATGTCACAGAGAATTCATGACAAAGGATGTGTTTAGATATTAATAGCTACAAATTGTTACTGTTAATATTTATGTTGAGTCAGTATGAAAGAATTTAGTATTTATTGTGAGAGGATAGTTATTGTGAGTGAAATGAGAAGTAATTTAATTATTTATAACTGATATAAAATCTGCATGTATACTAAAGGTGTAATCCAGAAATAACTTTTTCTGGGGGCCAAATTGCAAACTAATGTGAATACTGGAACGGAATGAAGTAAAAATATAACTGCATATACATGTACTAGCCTTAAAAACCAACTTTAAATGTTTGTTATGCATCTTTATTGTAATTGGGGGAAGGGGGGGTGGCTTAATATTTACTGAGTGAATTGAGCACTAATTGTTTGAATTTTTACTATTCCAAAATGAGGGGAACAAATTGAATCACGTACATATTTAGATAGAATTTGAATTGCGCACTTGCATGATATATAAAAAGCTTTGTTGATAAATGTCATGATTGTTACCCAGTGAGATTTCCAGGTTTATCTGACAAAGATGTATGATCATTTCAATATTACACATGATTGTACTGAATTTATTGAATATAAAATATGCAATGCACATTTGATACAGTGCACCAATATACATTATTTTAAGGTCAGACGACACATTCCTCCAAAATATATATTTTTTCCAAAGAATTTGTCATTGAAGTATAGGTACTGAAACAAGTTTCCTCACAAAAAATTAGGGTACCTTACCAGGCATTTAACCAAGATACCATAGGGTCATATTTCTTACATTATCCTTATGGGTAATCTTCTAAATGGCATATATAGCACAACTTTTGGTGTACTTATATTTAAAAACATTTTGAAAACAATATAGAAATCAGAAGAGAATGACAAATATAAATACGATTAGTATTTTTTATATAATACCAAGAGATACAAAACATATATTTGAGGAACGTGTCGTCTGACCTTAAAAAGTGTTGTTAATCTTATTAAATTAAGACTGTTTTGATTCGTGCTGTATACACTCTGCATACAAAAGTATGTGGCATGTATCTTTGAGACCTTTTATATTCAAAACTTTTTAATACTGTGAACTGAGTCCTTTTTTTCTAACAATAAATTTGCACAGATGAGCAATGTGGCCCATAAGCCTCTTGCTAAAATAATTGATGCAAAATTAAAATTCATAAAATCCTATAAAATGTCTGATAATAAGATAAGTAATTTTTTTCACATTCATCGTATAATTTGTCAAAAAAGATAAAATAATATTAATGCAAAAACAAATTGATTTTAGTTATGAATATGTGGTTGTATTTGGAAAATTATGAATATTTGGTTGTATTTGGAAAATTACTCAAGAATATGCTGTAAAGAGCCAGATGAATTACTCATAAATGTGTATAATAACAAGGGGTGTAATTGGGGAGCAATATTTGTGACCATGGCCGTGCCATTATATGTAATGGAGGTCATATTTAGATTGTTATTCATATGTGAAGCTCAAAGTAAGTCATAGTTTTTGATATTGTACAAAAAGGTTGATTATATTTTCCCAAATACATTTTAATTACTTTTCAAACTTCTCTATAAATAGAATAAGCTGCATTAATTATTGGAACATAATCAGTTAGATTGAAGACATGTTTACAATTAGTTTGACATGAATGTAATATAATTGTGTTTGTCTTTGAAAGTGAATGATGCACATGGTTACAGGGTTGTCTCCAATAAAAATGAAAACTATGCATTGTGTTCTTAATCTTTGTTGCCTGTAATACCTCTGCCAAGGAAAACGGAGGTTATATTTGCACTTTCTAAACATAAATATAGCCATTGGTCCTTTCTTGTCATGAAAAATTCCTACATTTATAAAGGTACTAGTATCCAAAAATTTATTAAACCATATCAAAACAAGATGTGTTTGTGAAACACTATGCGCCCGGCGGCAACAAAGTTTTAAAAAACTATTTTCAGCAGATAAGTGAATGTCAAGGTCACAAGGTCATTGACCTTGGCGTCATTTAAAGAACTTCATTAGTGAAGTATGCACACCAAATATGAAGTCTCTATCATGGTTCAAAAGTTATGGCGAAAATTTTGTAAAATCTATTTTTAACATATATATCAAGACACTCTAACTTGTCTATCTCTCATGACATTTTTTTAAAAAGCTATTGCAAATGAGGTCATTTTATCTTGTACTGACATTGTCTTGTAAGACATTGTATCTTGTACTGACATATGTATCTTGTACTGACATTGTATCTTATGCTGACATGGTTCACTGACATTGTAGTTGTACTGACACTGTGTCTTGACAACATTGTATTAACTGAAAGCTGATATTTATCTTGTACACATTGTATCTTGTACACATTGTATCTTGTACAATTGTATCTTGTCTGACATTGTATCCTGTCTGACATTGTTTTTAGTTTGTGTCTTGTACTGACCCGGTGTCTTGTACTGACATTGTATCTTGTATATTGACATTGTATCTTGTACTGACACTGTATCTTGTACTGACATTGTATCTTGTATGAATTGTATCTCTATGACTTTATCTGTATATGTTCATTTATGTAAAATGTATGGTACTGACATTGTATCTTGTACAGACATTGTGTCTTGACAACATTGACAGACATTGTATCTTGTAGACAAATCTCATATAATATATCAAACATTGTACTTGTTCTGACATTGTAAACAATGACATTGTATCTTGTTCTGATATTGTATCTTGTACAAACATTGATTCTTGTACAGATCCGGTGTCTTGTTCTGACATGGTATCTTGTACTGACATTGTATCTTGTTTTGACATTGTATCTTGTACTGACATTGTATCTTGTTCTGACATGCTATCTTGTACTTACATTGTGACTTGTACTGACATTGTATCTTGTACTGACATTGTATCTTGTACTGACATTGTATCTTGTACTGACATTGTATCTTGTACTGACATTGTATCTTGTTCTGACATTGTATCCTGTACTGACATTGTATCTTGTACAGACATTGTGTCTTGTACTGACCCGGTGTCTTGTACTGACATTGTATCTTGTACCGACATTGTATCTTGTACTGACACTGTATCTTGTACAGACATTGTATCTTGTACTGACATTCTATCTTGTACTGACATTGTATCTTGTACCGACATTGTATCTTGTACTGACACTGTATCTTGTACAGACATTGTATCTTGTACTGACATTCTATCTTGTACTGACATTGTATCTTGTACAGACATTGTATCTTGTACTGACATTGTATCTTGTACTAACATTTTATCTTGTACTGACATTATATCTTGTACTGACCTTGTATTTTGTACTGACATTGTATCTTGTAACATTGTATCTTGTACTGACATTGTATCTTGTACTGACATTGTATCTTGTACTGACACTGTATCTTGTACTGACATTGTATCTTGTACTGACATTGTATCTCGTACTGACATTGTATCTTGTTCTGACATTCTATCTTGTACTGACAATGTATCCTGTACTGACATTGTATCTTGTACAGACATTGTGTCTTGTACTGACATTGTATCTTGTACAGACATTGTATCTTGTACTGACATTGTATCTTGTACTGACACTGTGTCTTGTAATGACATTGTATCTTGTACTGACATTGTATCTTGTACTGACATTATATCTTGTATATTGATATTGTATCTTGTATATTGACATTGTATCTTGTACTGACATTGTATCTTGTATATTGACATTGTATCTTGTTCTGACATTCTATCTTGTTCTGACATTGTATCCTGTACTGACATTGTATCTTGTACAGACATTGTATCTATATTGACATTGTATCTTGTTCTGACATTGTATCTTGTTCTGACATTGTATCTTGTACTGACATTATCTTGTACTGACATTGTATCTTGTACTGACCCCGTGTCTTGTTCTGACATGGTATCTTGTACTGACATTGTATCTTGTTCTGACATTGTATCTTGTTCTGACATTGTATCTTGTACTGACATTGTATCTTGTACAGACATTGTGTCTTGTACTGACCCGGTGTCTTGTACCGACATTGTATCTTGTATATTGACATTATATCTTGTACTGACATTGTATCTCGTCCTGACATTGTATCTTGTACTGACATTGTATCTTGTACTGACATTGTATCTTGTACTGACATTGTATCTTGTACAGACATTGTGTCTTGTACAGACATTGTATCTTGTACTGACATTGTATCTTGTACTGACATTGTATCTTGTACTGACATTGTGTCTTGTTCTGACATTGCATCTTGTTCTGACATTGTTTCTTGTATTGACATTGTATCTTGTACTGACATTGTATCTTGTACTGACATTGTATCTTGTACAGACATTGTGTCTTGTACTGACATTGTATCTTGTATATTGACATTGTATCTTGTTCTGACATTCTATCTTGTTCTGACATTGTATCCTGTACTGACATTGTATCTTGTACAAACATTGTATCTATATTGACATTGTATCTTGTTCTGACATTCTATCTTGTTCTGACATTGTATCCTGTACTGACATTGTATCTTGTACTGACATTGTATCTTGTACTGACATTGTATCTTGTACTGACATTGTATCTTGTACTGACATTGTATCTTGTACTGACATTGTATCTTGTACAGACATTGTGTCTTGTACAGACATTGTATCTTGTACTGACATTGTATCTTGTTCTGACATTCTATCTTGTACTGACATGGTATCTTGTACAGACATTGTATCTTGTACTGACATTGTATCTTGTACTGACATTGTATCTTGTTCTGACATTGTATCTTGTACTGACATTGTATCTTGTACTGACATTGTATCTTGTACTGACATTGTATCTTGTACTGACATTGTATCTTGTACAGACATTGTATCTTGTACAGACATTGTATCTTGTTCTGACATGCTATCTTGTACTTACATTGTGACTTGTACTGACATTGTATCTTGTACTGACATTGTATCTTGTAGTGACATTGTATCTTGTACTGACATTGTATCTTGTAGTGACATTGTGTCTTGTACTGACATTGTATCTTGTACTGACATTGTATCTTGTACTGGCATTGTATCTTGTACTGACATTGTATCTTGTATAGACATTGTGTCTTGTACTGACCCGGTGTCTTGTACTGACATTGTATCTTGTACTGACATTGTATATTGTATATTGACATTGTATCTTGTTCTGACATTCTATCTTGTACAGACATTGTATCTTGTACTGACATTGTATCTTGTACTGACATTGTATCTTGTACAGACATTGTGTCTTGTACAGACATTGTATCTTGTACTGACATTGTATCTTGTACTGACATTGTATCTTGTTCTGACATTGTATCTTGTTCTGACATTGTATCTTGTACAGACATTGTGTCTTGTACAGACATTGTATCTTGTGCTGACATTGTATCTTGTTTTGACATTCTATCTTGTACAGACGTTGTGTCTTGTACTGACATTGTATCTTGTACAGACATTGTGTCTTGTACAGACATTGTATCTTGTACTGACATTGTATCTTGTTCTGACATTCTATCTTGTACTGACATTGTATCTTGTTCTGACATTCTATCTTGTACTGACATTGTATCTTGTACTGACCCCGTGTCTTGTTCTGACATTGTATCTTGTAATGACTTGTATCTAATACTGACATTGTATCTTGTACTGACACTGTGTCTTGTAATGACATTGTGTCTTGTAATGACATGGTATCTTGTATTGACATTGTATCTTGTACTGACATTGTATCTTGTACTGACATTATATCTTGTATATTGACATTGTATCTTATACTGACAATGTATCTTGTTCTGACTACTCAGTACTTTAACTCGTTCTGACATTGCAAATTGTTTAAACATTATCTTGCTACAACTGCGTAACCCCCCCCCCCTTCCTCCCCTTCAAACATTTTTTTTTATAATTAGATTCATGGTTTTAAAAAGGCTGCCAGTGTATTAATTTCTTTTTTTTTTTTTTTTTTTAGTGTTTTTAACTAAATAAAATATTACTTCAGGGGCAGAATGTAAATTTACTTTAGAAACAGCTGAAGTTTTTATGTCGGTAGCTTAAAGAAGTTCTGGTAAAATATTTAACTAAGTTAACTAGGTTAGCTAAATTGAAAGCCATAAACTGTGAATGCAAAATACAGTTAACAAGCTAATTCAGAGAATTTGTGTCCCCCGCTTAGGGAAAAAGTAAACCATGCGCAGTTCGTGGAGGGGGGGGGGGGGGGGGGGGGTGTCAGAGCCCCCTGACTTAAGTTGTAAATAATTAAATTTGTAGAATTATTATATGTATACATGTATACGGAAGCAAATAAAATACATGTATGTCAATATGCATATAAAGATTTGATTGCTTATTCTTTATTACGTGTATAGAAGATTCTTTTTATATGGAATATTTACATGATTTATCACACTGTAATAATGATTTTATAACCTCATAAATTTTTCATTTCACATGCTGAATACTATCATTTAGTAAAAAAAAAAAAAGTATTTAAAAAAAAAAAAAAAGAAAGCATCGACCGAGATTCGATCCCGGGACCTCTCACACTTGAAGCGAGAGACATTTTTTTTTTTTCTCTCTCTTTTATTGATATATTCATCTTCATTTGCATACACTTATAACAACTAAGTTACAACAATATTAAAAAGAGGGCAATAAAAATCACATAAGTTTGTTTAAAAAATAAATA